CCAGTGCTGCCATTGACCTTCACGGTGCAGAATGAGGCTGGTCACCATGAGCTCCCCTGGGTTTTTTGTTTTCCCCCCAGATCCATAGAAAGGGAAAGGGCAGAGATAGAGCAGGTACTTTCTTAATGCTCTCAGTTTAGGATGTGGTAGAGTAGAAGCCCACAGTAAGTAGTATACTCGACACTGGAAAGAAGAAACATCAGAGAAGGTATCTTATGATTTGCCAATCGATCTAAAAAGTGAGTACATACATTCTAGACCCACATTAATGAGGTCACCGTCAAACTCCAAGCAAGACCCTGAGATCCGTTTACAGGCCTGTGCATAGTCCTACTGTACCCCCGTAGGAACTATGCAGAAAGGCCAGTGACACCTCGGCTGACTTTTACTCAGCACTTGCAACTTGATTCAATTGACAAGTCACAGAGACCTGTGGACCAGATGAATCATGGCTCCACCACTCACTTAGCTGATGACCTTGACCAAGTCACTTAACTTATCTGAGCCTCAGTTTCCTCCTCTTTAACATGCGAAATGACATTCTAAAGGTTAATGTGATAACACACACAGCACCCTGCGAGGCACATAGTGCATATCCCGTCTAATGTTAGTTTTCCTGGCAGAGCCCTTTGCAGAGCCAAGAATTTCTTCATGTGATAATCTAGGCCAGCACTGTCCAATAGACTTTCCACAATAATGGAAATATTCTATTTCTGCTCGGTACACTATGGTAGCCACGACTCACAATGTGGCTATTGAACCCTTGGAATGCAGCAAGTGAGACTGAGCAACTGAATTTTAAATTTAATTTAAATTAATTTAAATTTAAGTAGCCACATGTGGCTAGTGGCTACTGTACTTGGCAGCACACCTCTAGACATTACTCCCTGCTTTGAGGATCTGAGCAGAGAGAAGCCAGAAGTCTGAGCACAGGTGGGTAGATATTACTAGGAGCAAGGGAATGAACAAGGTGGTGGTTGCTGTATGGTCAGAAAAGCCAGAAGGA